CACACTCTCTCTCACTCACACACACACACACACACACACGCACGCACACACACACACACACACACACACACACACTCTTAATCTCTTAATGAAGCTAATGTCGTATTAACCTGCTGAACTGAGCGTCAGTCAGATCAGATTCTGTCCTTCCCTGAATATAAAAGCATCAGACTCTTCCTCAGAAACCCTGAGGTTCATAATACTCGACTCTGGACGCTTTTTTGATCCACTTGACTACTGTATATATATATATATATATAAATAATATATTATATATTTAAAAATATAGATAAACCCGACAAATAAGTTTTTAACAGTTCCAGTCTCACAATAAATGTTTAGTTTAGATTTATCGATTGAGCTTTTCAACATCCACATTTAGAAGCTGTTTGGGATAAAAGTGTCTAAATTAAATTCAAATGTAAAGCTTTAGGTTTTATACTTTCAAGTGCTGATCATTTATTTTCCTCCAAGCTTGGAAGCGGTTTTAATGTTTAGAAAAACCATTTGAGTTCTTTTTTAAGGTAATATATATATATATATATATATATTTTTTTTTAAATAGACCCAATTATTATATATTATACCCGTACAACTCATTTGAGTTCATGAAGGTTTATGTAAGCTGCCGTTCATGATGGACTTCGTCAGGAAAACATTCCATTTGAGCAGATTGTTCTGTTTTTAGGCAAAGTCTGAGCTCTTGTCTAATCAAATGATGAATATAATTTGAGTTTTGATATTCCAGTACAAAATTCAAATGTAGTTTTTCAGCCATTTTGACAGCCCTACGACCTGTAGTCACATTACAGGCCTTTTCCCTGAAGCACACAATCATGAGCACACAAATGCACCGTAATTGACTTCAGTTATACATTTAATTGACTTTGTTTGAGGAAATGTTTCAAATGGCTGGAAATCTCAAAATGGTTTAAGCAAAAAACAAAAGCACACCCAGAATAAGTGAGTTTGACAGCATCTTTAATAGAAAAGAGCAAAGTGTTTTACAAGCCAACACACTACACCGTGACAGATCCAGCATGTTTAGCCAGTTTAAACAGCACAAGTGAAGCCTATTTACAAGCACTAGATTCAGTGTAACAACTCTGACTGACGATGAGCCCCTTTCTGGACGATAAACGAGTCGAGGAAAAACGAGGGAGTGAGTTTAGTGCAGATGATCTCCAGCGGATCAGAAGCACCAGAGAAGGACAGATGAAGGTGACGGCGAGGGAAGCATCAAACCCTAACCAGAGCAGACGGCATCCTGGGCTTTGGCTTTGCTCCTGCGGTGTTTGGAAGCCCGAACCTCCTCCACGAGATCCTTCAGATACCGGATCTCTCGGCTGATGGACTCGGCTTTCTCCTGGAGCTGGCGGTTTCTCGTCTCCAGCTCGGCGCACTCGGAGCTCAGCGTCTCCTGCTCGGTGCGTTTCTTCTGCCGGTAGCGCGTCGCGGCCGTTTTGTTCTGCTCCATCTTCTTCAGCTTCTTCTCCACCACTTTAGGAGCACCGGCGCCCGGCTCGGGTCTGGAGTAGGGTTTGGTTCTGGAGGAGCCCGTGGGCTTCGGCGAGGGTTCGGGATCTGATCCGGAGACGGAGATCCCGCTGTCGCTGTCGGATGAATCGCTGCCTCTCGCCTCCTCTGTGGGACTAGCGAGCGGGAGCACTGACACCTCGCTGCCCAGCTCCAGCGTGAAGCTCAGATCCGGAGACGGAGGCTCAGACTTCATCTCCACAGGCTCCTGCGCTGGCTCCGGGAGGGGAAGGTCAAAGGTCAGCGCCAGGTCCAGCTCTGTTGAGCCGAACGGGAGCGAATCCAGGTCCAGATCCATGTCGGTGTGCAGGCAAGCCAGCAGCTCTTCTGGAGAACCGGGAGGCTCGTCTGAATCACATGATCCGATGAGAGAATCCAGGTCAAAGTCATTCAGGTCTAACTTCTCCGTCATCCAATCCATGCAAGAAAACACACCGCCTGCTGGAGGAGGAAACGGACAAGAGTTCAGTAAAGACGACTCATTTTAAAATGGTATAAACTTCTGTGTAAAGATAAACTACTAGCTACTAGAAGAGGGAAACTCCCTTAAACGTGTAAGCACTGCAGCCCAACTAACCCAAACTAATCTGAAAACCTGGGACACTATTATAGTTTATCAATATATTTCTTATATTTTCAAATTCCACATAATTTTTAATTTTTGGTGATTTACCGTTTTCTACATAAAATCATCCTTCATAAAGATGCATTCTATGAAAATCTAACCTTTATATCTTTAATATTGACTGAAGTAAGGCCATGTCAAAGATTGAAATCATAGTGAAATTAATGGCTGAAATCAAACTTGGATGCTTCTCATAATTAGATTGAGACTTTAGCCTGGATTTCACAGACGGGGTCACATTTAGTTTTGGCAATTCTATTGGTTTGTCACTATAGTTTATAATTTTTTCAGTTTTAGATTAGCACATCAACTTAAAGTAAATGCATACAACAAGTTTAAGTTATTCATTTTTACATTATTCCGGTTAATGTTTATTTCATTTAACGAAATAGTTTATCATTTTGGCTTATATACACACACAACAACTCTGCTTCCGTTCAGTGTTCACCTACAAAGTGCTAGTAATTCTCTGAAAAATAACATGCAACACATTATAGTGCATTTGGTTTTACTAATGGTTCCATTTAGAATCCGTTTTAGTAATTTAGTTGGGCTTTTGCTTTTTTTTTTTTAATGTGCCTATATAATTTATAAATTTATTTCAGTTTTGATTTTAGTACATCAAGTTAAACAAATTTTTTTCACATTTAATGAACTTTAATAACGCAGGTGCCATTCAACTGAACCGTATGAAAAGCAAACACAAATCTGTCCATGAGTGTGACGCATTGAGTTTTCAGTGCAAATGAGTGTGACGCATTGAGTTCAGTGCAAATGAGTGTGACGCACTGAGTTTTCAGTGCAAATGAGTGTGACGCATTGTGTTTTCAGTGCAAATGAGTGTGACGCATTGAGTTTTCAGTGCAAATGAGTGTGACGCATTGAGTTTTCAGTTGCAAATGAGTGTGACGCACTGTGTTTTCAGTGCAAATGAGTGTGACGCACTGTGTTTTCAGTGCAAATGAGTGTGACGCATTGAGTTTTCAGTGCAAATGAGTGTGACGCATTGAGTTTTCAGTGCAAATGAGTGTGACGCACTGTGTTTTCAGTGCAAATGAGTGTGACGCATTGAGTTTTCAGTGCAAATGAGTGTGACGCACTGTGTTCAGTGCAAATGCGTGTAAAGTGTCACCTTTGCTCTGCTTGGGCTCGGTTTGCGGCGGCCAGGAGAGCGCCAGCAGCTCTGATTTGCACCCTAGAGAAGCGTGACGAGAGGGAGAGAGGGGCGAGAGAGAGGAGGAAGAGGAGAGGGGCGACGATGACCCCTCCGACAGAGCGCTCTCCTCATCTTCGTCCAGAAGGGGCCCAAAGGGGTCAACCATCAGAGATGAGGGCCCCAGGATCAGGGCCCCCACATCCTCCAGACTCATCTGAGACACCACAGACATGGCAGAGGGTCAGTGGCGAAGCGGAGCGGGTCAGGGGTTCTGGTGAGCTGGTGAACGGTGTGGTTATGCTGTCTACAGCAGCAGAGCTGTGGGTGGATGCCACAAGGGACCTGAAAGAAAGCAGGCGAGACAACGTTACAGAGAAGGAACGAGACGCTCACACCGGACCGAAGTACGAAAGCGGAAACGAGGCTCTTCGAGTGATCCTAACTGATGTTTTGAAGTTCTAGTCTGAGAACACTACTGAAAACTAACTGCGGCTGGAAATTCTGAGCAACAATCAAAAAGTCTTTATTGGGGCATGCGTCCACATTCACACACTTTACAACAAATCACACTCCTATGCATATAAGAACAAAAAGGAATCAGTTATCGATTCCCAACCCTTGCCAGAGGGAAGATTTAACGGAACAAAAACTGGATTTCAATTCACTTCCTTGCACTGGATAACCAGTTTACCAGCACTTTAAACCAGTTTATCCAGTCTCTAAACCGCAGAGGGGCGTTCCAGTTAAACCTGCCACCTGGGAGGAACTGGAGCAGCCCACACACACTAATACTGACCAACTTAACCGCCGCCTCCTCACTGGTATTAACCCAATGACTAGCTGACCTTTAACAGGAATTACCCCGCCCTTCCAGATAACGTTTCCTAATATGGTCGTAAGCACGGGAAGCCCCGCCCCCTGGTTCCTGCGCGAGATGAAGGTGTCCCTCCCGCCATTTCAAGCGCTAAGCACGCGCGCCATTTTAAGGTGCCACGTTGCCGCTCCGCGACAAAAAAAACAAAAATAAAACCGCGCGAAGAATCAAAACAAACGCTCAGAAACACTTCACAAAGCTACACTGTGATACTGCTAAACGTCAAGCTAGGCTAGTTAAACTACTACTAACAAACAGCACCGCCTTTAAAAACTTCGACGAGTTCTTGACATACTAAATCAAACGTCAAAGGCTGAGAAATACTTACGCCATTTTGCCAATTAGAGCCAGTGCACTTGACCGCTGCACTGCTGGATTCGCCGCTGCGCTTGTCGCCGCTGCACGCCGCTAGACTGCCATGATCCCCGCGCGAGAGCTGCGTGCGGAGAGAGCGGAGCGCGGGAGAGAAACAGCGAGAGACGCGGCAGCGCCCCGCTTATATACGCGCGCATCACACCCACCCCGTGCGCTTCCGCCGCGCGTATCACTCCGCCAGTGTCTGCTCGCTGATTGGCCTCTGCGCCTGTCAAAAGTTACCAAACAAATAGTACCTAAACATTTACGTTCGCACAGGATGTAGGTCGTGCGCGCGGAGCTCAGACAAGAAATAGTTTAGATAGTCCGAATAAATAACATTTTAGGAGCGATATTCTTTCAGATTTTATTAGCAAGAGAAGCTGATGCTAAGTTTAAAGACAGAATGGACAGTGTTAAATACACTAGTGCTAGTAATTCAATCAGGCAGACATTACATCTCAGGAAAATCTTTTTATTGTAATTATTTTGACACATTTGCAAAGGTACAGCACGAGAATACACGCCTACACAAGAGTGGAATAGAGTTATAAGAAACTGAAGAAGTCTGACCTCATTACTTTTTAATTTAATTTACAAGAGAATGTATTGAGTGACAGCTCTGGTGTTGCCATGGTGACAGAACTCAGAAGGTGTTACTGTAGCTCTAAAATAAATATGAATATGCATTAATCATCTCACACACAACCCCCCCCCCCCACACACACACAGATTCAGCATTCCTCAAAATGAATAAAAATAATGCAGCTCAAGAATATGACGCAAACCTTCAATAATTAAATGATAAACAGCACAAATATGCTTTATGTATTTAATCCCATTCTATTAGCTTCTGAGCTCTGAAGATGCAGTTCAAGCGTACTAATAAGCACACATTACTCTAGACGAACACTTGTGTCTTTGTTTCTTGCTGACGTGTGTTAAATGTCTTCTTCTGCATTCTACTGTACTTTCCCTTCAGCCTGAGGCGCATTCATTTCACTTCTGCTGTGAAAGGCTTTTATATTTGCCACAAATATAACTTTTTTATCTTAAAAACAAACAAGCAAGCCCTGCCCAGATTTAAAAAGTAACGCAAAAGTAGCATAATGCATTACTTTCCACAAAAAGTAACTAAGTAACGTAATTACTTTTTATGGAGTAACGCATTACTTTTAAAAGTAACTTTCCCCAGCACTGCACATGAAATGCTCAAAATATTCTAGTGATTCAGTCTCAGGAGGATCTTTTTATTATTCTGAATACAACACAAGAACACATGTCTACAAGAGAGCAGCAAACACCAAACGAAGAAACAACCCTTTCCTCGTATCTCTCTCGTGTCCATCAGCTCTGCAAGCTGCTCTGGCACTCCTTTAAGATTGTTTCCACCTTCTTCTTGACCCGATTTTTCTTGACTTTGTTGGTGATGGCGGCCGAGGCCCCCGTGACCCCGCCAGCGGCCGCGACCCCCGTGAGGGCCAGAGATGCTCCCAGAGTCACGGGGGACCGCTCCTGTGGCTCCTCCGGTGATGCCAGCGATCTTCAGGCCTGTGTGCGTCGTATCCACACCATCAGCCTCTTCCTGCAGCTCCGTAATCTGTCTTTCTAGAGCGCTTTTATAGCTTGGTGTTTGTGAAACTCTCACCAGTGTGCATGAAGGACCTGCACAGACAAAAGACAAATGAAGCAGAATGAAGCATGTTCTCGTCCTGCTGTTATACAGATGGCTGAATTAATCAATCCGTACCACTTTTTATGTATATTTTTGTATATACACACTACCGGTCAAAGGTTTGGGGTCAGTAAGGCTTGTGATGTGTTTTAAAGACGTCTCTTCGGCTCATCACGGCTGCATTTATTTGATCAAAAATACAGGAAAAAATGTGATATTGCAAAATGTTAATACGATATAAAATAATGGTTTCTATGTGAATATGTCTTAAACTGTAATGTATGTCTGTGATGCGCAGCTGTATTTTCAGCATCATTCCTCCAGTCTTCAGTGTCTCATGATCTTCAGAAATCAGTATAATATGCTGCTTTATTATTAGATATTATATAAAAATATTTTTTTGGAAACTGATACTTTTTTCAGGATTCTTTGAGGAATAAAAAGTTAAAAAGAACAGCATTTATTCAAAATATAAATCTTTTCTAACAATATAAATCTTTGCTATCACTTCTTATCAATGCAACGCATCCTCGCTGAATAAAAGCTTTAATTTCTTTCAAAAAAAAGAAAGAATAAAAATTGACCGACTCCAAACTTTTGAACGCTAGTGTAGTTGAACTGTAAGATTTCGGTTTTGAACAAATGCTCTTCTTTTAAACTTTTTATTCATCAAAGAATCCTGAAAAAAAGTATCACAGTTTCCCAAAACAATATGAAGCAGCACAACTGATAATAATCAGCATATTATACTGATTTCTGAAGATCATGTGACACTGAAGACTGGAGGAATGATGCTGAAAATACAGCTGCACATCACAGAAATACATTACAGTTTAATGTATATTAAAATAGAAAAACGTTATTTTACATCATAATAATATTTCACGGTATCACATTTTTTCTGCAGCCTCGATGAGCAGAAGACACTCCTTTCTTCTGATCTAAACTTATGTTACAGATGAAGAATGTGTGTATTTGTCCGGATCCACTTTACCTGAAGTCTGAATCTGAGACCACTGTAGATTCTCCTGAACAGTTCTGTTTCAATGTCTTAGTGACAGAAAGTGTGGAAATTGAAAGAAAAAAAAATGATGCCAACTTGAAAAGCTGCAGGAAAACATGCAGTTGTCGCATGCAGTATTTTGTGTAATTTGTCTTGTTTTATTATTAGACAGAAAAGTAGCGAACACACTCGTCAAGGATAATAACACAATACAGTTCAAAGTAAACTTGTTTCTGTTGTGGTCCTTGATGCTTCCGCTAACAGGTACAGCTGGCACTGCCTTATAAATAAAGATTACTAGATTATCTCTTACTCGAAGTGTTTCCCATCCGAAAGCATTTCTTTTCCTGCTGGAAAGAGAGCAAAGCTTCAGTCACACTTCGTTTATTATAAAGAGAAGATGCACTGTAGATGTTTGAGACGCTGGATCAACAGCATCTTTGTATCGTGTCTGTCTGCGGTTAGTTAGTGGAGGATGTTGCTATAGTTACTGTGGCTCTCTACACCTGTGAGCAGAATCCACTAAAACACACCCAGATGAAGACACATTTCTGAAGAGAAAAGACACTTGGTCTGTGACTGAATCAAGGTTGATCAGAGTTGTAGAATCACAAGAAAGTGTCTAAGGAAGGTAAATGGCACTCAGATGGAGTTTATACCTGTGGCTCGCTGTTCTGGAATCGTTTACTCAAATGATCCTCCAGATCTGCTTTGAAAATGACATCCTTCTGCATTTTGAGATGGAAACTCACAATGCCGGGATGAAAAGTCATGATTTAATATCAGTATTTATTCATGAATGGGCATTATGGGTTGTGTGCTTTAATCATGTTTGTGTGTACCTCAGAACAGCGTGAAATGAGCTCTCGAGGGCTTCCGGTTCCGGGTTTAGTCCTCGGTTGTAGAAGTGGAGGAACCACGCGTTTCTCATACACATTCTCTCTCTTCAACGCGGAAAACAAAGCAGACCCTTTAGGTAATGATGCACAAGAAACTCAATAGTATTCAGCTAGTTGTAGAGGAACTGAGCTTTTCTTTCATTTATAAAGTGGAGAGTTCCGGTGCTTGGCTCTGATTGGCTGAGCCGCGTTCGAAGCTGTTGTAAATGACTCTACAAAGTAACACACACCTTTGTTTACGTTTGTGTGTTGCTCGGCAACCACTTTGTAGCAACCACAACTGTTTCTGAGGAGCTACATTGTTTGGTGGAAGAACACTGTATTTATTAATATCATTACACTTTATTTGCTCCGTTTTATTTTGTGAAACCTTGCTACGTATAACCGTTTTATAAAAGCAATAACCCCCGTGAAGCCGTGGTTTACAGTGAATTTATAACAGCTAAGGGGCGCTGTTAGGCACGACCGACTGCAGCCAGAAGCATCAGCATCTTCAGGTCTGAGACAGTGATTCAGTGCACAGAAAGACCGGTTTAACTGCTCCTTCGTCTGATCACTCATCATTCAGTCTTTCACTATCCTCCTAATCTGTTTGGCTTGACCGATTCTTAAACATGCTGATGATAATCGATGACGATTGCTTGCGTGGCCCTGGAGCCAACCGAGGAGCAGGTTTAGGAGCAGAACGCTGAAGAACAGATCAGAAATCTTTCAGAACGACATGCGTCTCAAAACCGCTGGAAGAACCTGAACTTCAGGGTCTCGAAAAACACAGTGAGCCCAAAGAACTAAAGCCCATCAGAATGAAACCCCGGCGATAAAAGTGTGAATTTGTAGTTTGGATTTATTTGGGTTTTCTTCTTCTCTTTTAGTTTGTAATCAGTATTTCATTGATAATATGACACATTTGGCTTTCGTAAATTACCCAAGTGGTGCTCATGCTAATATAGTAAACATACTAAACATATAACATGACATTAGCCAACAATACATTGTTTGGGTCAAAATTATACATTTCTCTTTTATGCCAAAAATCATTAGGATATTAAGTAAAGATCATGTTCCATGAAGATATTTAGTAAATGTCCTACCGTAAATATATCAAAACTTAATGTTTGATTAGTAATATGCATTGCTAAGAACTTCATTTGGACAACTTTAAAGATGATTTTCTCAATATTTAGATTTTTTTGCACCCTCAGATTCCAGATTTTCAAATATTGTCCGATCCTAACAAACCATACATCAATGGAAAGCTCATTTATTCAGCTTTCAGATGATGCATACATCTCAGTTTCAGAAAAATGTACCCTTATGACTGGTTTTGTGCTCCAGGGTCACACATTATCATCACAGATCCGTCATATTAATTATGCTTGGCAGTGGAAACACATGGAATTAAAAGCGCTGTATGTAATACAGACACCTGCAGGTTTAGAATGACGTTTTAGGTTTTAGAATGACTTACGTCGTCCATCGTCTGCAGATGTTTAACGCTCACAGCTGTGTTTCTGTCTGTCTGCAGAAGTGTGAGACAGATCAGCTCTAAAGCCGCCATGGCACTCAATCATCAGTTAAAACACTTTCACTTACAACACAAAGAAGCGTTCACAAACATCATGTGTCGGTTTATTTTGGAATTCATAGTTTAAATGCTTTAGAAAATAAAGGAGATTCTTTACTTAAACTTGAAGAACCAGTAAAGACTGCTTTAATGGCATGAGATTTAAACATTTGATTTGAGTTCACATGTAGCTTTGAGAGCATCTTCGTGTTTGTGTGCTACTATAAGATAGAAAAACAGCTCTTAAGATGAAGATGAAGAACCTGTCCGTTCCACAAAAGATTCTTTATAGTGGAAAAAAGGTCATTCACAGGTCATTCACACTAAGAAAGAAAAGTTTGTTCCATCACTGAAGAGTATGGAAGCCCGTTTCTGCCACTTTTTCTCAGAATCGCAAGTTTGTATCATGCAATCGTGAGATGAAAAAGTCGCAATTACTTTTTTTATTCAGTGGCAGAAACGGGCTTCCATACTAAAGTTCTTTGATGAACCAAAAAAGTTCTTCTGTGGCATTACTGCAAAAACCCAAACCGGTGTGAATCCAAAATGTGTCCAACAGAAAGCTCTGATGATGAGAAAGTGTCATAAAATAAAGCATGTTTTCACAGTGACGCCAGAAGAACATTTTAAGTAAAGAACCATTTGTGGAATGGAAAGATGAAAGATGTGAAGTTCTTCATGGAACCAGATGGAAGCATGGTGTGATGGGCTCTCCAGCACTGAGACTCTCAGCAGAGCATGTTTTTGATGCGTATGAGCTGGTCGATGTTCTCTTTGAGTTTCAGAGCCACCTCTCGGATCTTAGCGGCGAACACGCTCTCCGAGCCTCTCTTCAGCCTCTGCGCGTCGTCTTTAGTGAAGTACGAATCCAGATCCGCTGCGAACGCCTGCACGACGCGACTGTTTTCACTCAGCGCGTCGAGGACGTCAGAGTTTCCGAGCCGCTCCGCCAGCATCAGCACGTCTCTTGCGTCAGCGTCGACCGCGAGCGATGCGAGCGACGCGAGCTCCGGCCTCCTCAGGTGCTCCATGCCGCTGATGATGAACTTCAGGCACTCCTCCACGTCCTCCATCTGGCTCTGATAGTTCCGGAGGATCTTCTCCACCTTCCTCCGGTCCTGAGTCTTTCTGACTTTCTTGCTGATGGCTGCTGACGCTCCGGTGACGCCTCCGGCCGCCGCCACACCGACGCCGATCCCCGCCACGGCCAGCGAGGCTCCGAGGGTCATGGGCGCCAGAGCGATGCCCGCTAGTATAGCCGCCGTTCCGATGGCCCCCGTGGTGCCGCCCGTGATGCCCGCGATGCGCGTTTTCTTCACCGTCTTGTCCAGTTCGTCGGCGATGCAGTTGAGCTGAGTGATGAAGTTCATCATGCCGGTGCCGCGGAGAAACAGAACCTGCTGGTAGAGCTGAACCCCTGACCGGACCCGCTGAACCGTCTGAGCGAACCGTCTAGCGGAGAAAGCAGACGCACACTGAAGCGGGTCACTTTCTACAGCAGATCCCACTGAAGTCTGCAGCTTACCTGCACTGATCATGCTCCTCCTGCTGCTCCTCATCAAACACATGATCCCAACCTGCAGGACGATGAACTTCAGGCACTCCTCCACGTCCTCCATCTGGCTCTGATAGTTCCGGAGGATCTTCTCCACCTTCCTCCGGTCCTGAGTCTTTCTGACTTTCTTGCTGATGGCTGCTGACGCTCCGGTGACGCCTCCGGCCGCCGCCACACCGACGCCGATCCCCGCCACGGCCAGCGAGGCTCCGAGGGTCATGGGCGCCAGAGCGATGCCCGCTAGTATAGCCGCCGTTCCGATGGCCCCCGTGGTGCCGCCCGTGATGCCCGCGATGCGCGTTTTCTTCACCGTCTTGTCCAGTTCGTCGGCGATGCAGTTGAGCTGAGTGATGAAGTTCATCATGCCGGTGCCGCGGAGAAACAGAACCTGCTGGTAGAGCTGAACCCCTGACCGGACCCGCTGAACCGTCTGAGCGAACCGTCTAGCGGAGAAAGCAGACGCACACTGAAGCGGGTCACTTTCTACAGCAGATCCCACTGAAGTCTGCAGCTTACCTGCACTGATCATGCTCCTCCTGCTGCTCCTCATCAAACACATGATCCCAACCTGCAGGACACACACACACACACACATTTCTCAGTACATTCAAACTGTGTAAAATAGATTTACGAAAGGAAACGAGGCTGAAATGTTACAATGCCAATAAAAATAAACAGCTTTCCTACCTGGCAAAAGCCCACTTTTGACACGCAGACCTGTGTCTGACTCCTGCAGAGACAAAACCATCATCAAACCTGACTTCAGCATCATTCATGAGGACTAGAGAGAGTAGAGATGCTTTACCATCAAACCGGAGGATGAGAAGCGCTTCCCCTTCCCTGCACAATCAGCTCCTCCATCCTGAAGAGTCACAAATCAGTCAGTGAAGAAATACAAAATAAAGCAGCTTCTGAAAGCATCTGGACACTTTAGTCACACTTGTGTCATTTAGAGACAAAATATCAAAGCAAGTGTTATTAACTGTAAAGAAACAAATGTAACAAATAAAACAATGTAATGCCGGGATTGGCTCAGAGAGAAGCTTTTGCATCATTAATGAATATTAAGTGTCAGATGAGAACTAAACTCGAAGTGATCTGAGTGTTTTCTGTAGAGCTGCTCAAAGCTGAATCTCGCATCAATGGTTCTGTGTATTACTGTGAAGCTGCTGTGCTGTATAAAGTGCAAGAGAAGTGTTTTGAAGCGCGTCTGGTGTGTGTAAATACGGTTTTCCGCTGGTCCAGCAGCACTGAGATGTCCTCATACAGGTGCTGATCCGGGTCACTCCTGACCGGTTGTGATGAAGCGGGACGGGGGGGAATCGGAGGTGCCCGGATCTCTCTGTAACCCTCGTCTGCTGGAGGAGCGTCACATGAAGCTGTGGTTAGACTGGGTTTGCTGGGAACTGGCGGCTTCACCTGAGACAAAATCAGAATCAGCATCCAGAAGCAATAATGAAAGCATTTCAGTGTGAGTGACTAATGAACCGTTAATAACCTCCACTGTGGCTTTTACATCTCTTTCTCGACTCATGCTTTACACAACATTAGATTTATGGTTTGATTTCCAAATGATAACAGAGTTCATGTGACGACAGTGTAGTGATCATTGCATTCATTTCACATCATAAGCGGTTTAAATAAAGAATACAGTAAAGAGTGTGAAGTACCGTACTCTGGGGTCGGTATTGTCATACTTTTATTCATCAGGGGCGCATTAAATTGATCAAAAGTGTCAGTAAAGACATTTATAATGTTACAAAATGTTTCTACTTCAAATAAATGCTGTTCTTTTGAACTTACTGTTCATCTGTGAATCCTGAAAAATAAAATGCATCACAGTTTCCACAAAAATATTGTGCAGCACGACTGTTTTCAGCATTGATAATAATCAGAAAGGTTTCTCGAGCAGCAGATCAGCATATTATACTGATTTCTGAAGATCATGTGACACTGAAGACTGGAGAAATGATGCTGAAAATACAGAAATACATTACAGTTTAACAGATATTCACTTAGAAAACAGCTGTATTACATCATAATAATATTGCACATTTTGTACTGTGTTTTTGATCAAATAAATGCAGCCCTGGTGAGCAGAAGAGACTCTTTCAGACGCTCGAGCGCTAGTGTAGTAATGATTTAGTGAAGCTCTGGAGGGAATCTTTACTCTGTCCGGCAGCACTTGCTGATAAAGAGGCACGCAGTGATGGTCAGTCTGAGCCGCTGCTGTGCCAGACGAGGATGAACGACCATCAGAACAGAGCATGATCCTCCTCTGAGACCAGTACAAACTGTTACTCAACAGAAAACAATACACAGAGATTGATCTTTACGTTTAAGCACAAAACTGTCAAACATGCAACTCTACTACTCCTTCTGGAACTTCTGGAAGTCCTTCTCAGTGAAGACGGATTCCTCCTCTGGTTTGGAGGCGGGCGGATCGGGCCGATGACAGGCGCGCCGCCCCGAGTGCTGCTGGACGATCTAGAGAAAACACAGCAGATATCATGTAACACCCTCACTGACCGAGCGGGAATCTGCAAGTTCTGCCGCATGAAGCTGAAGGAGATCAGACCTTTCCCGTGTCTCTGCTCTGTGTTTTATGATCAGCGGCCAGGAAATACTCCACATTTGACTTCAGCTGACTCTTCTTCTGCTTCTTTCTGTATTCGTCTGAGGAAAACAGAAACATTCATCAGGTGGGACTGAGAATCTGAAGCAGAACCGGTCGTAACGTTAGTGATGGTGTTAGTCTGCCGCTTCTGTGATCAGTAGAGTGAATGAGCAGGTTTCAAGTAGGTTTGAGCAGGTTTTAAGTAGGTTTGAGGAGCTTAAGGGAGTTTTGAGGAAGTCTCAGCAGGTTTTAAGTGGGTTTGAACAGTTTTGAGCAGGTCTGAGGAGCTTAAGGGAGTTTTGAGCAGGTTTTAAGTAGGTTTAAGTAGGTCTGAGGAAGTTTCAGCAGATTCTAAGCAGGTTTGAGGAGCTTAACGGAGTTTTGAGCAGGTTTTAAGTAGGTTTGAGGAGTTTTGAGGAAGTCTGAGGAGGTTTTAAGCAGGTTTGAACAGTTTTGAGCAGGTTTTAAGTAGGTTTAAGCAGGTCTGAGGAAGTTTCAGCAGATTCTAAGCAGGTTTGAGGAGGTCAGACTCACCCAGAGCAGACCGGATGTGCTTGTCTTTGACCGTGTTTGTGCTCCGCGCTGATCCTCCGGGTCGCTGCAGCCGCCGGATCCGCCTCTGAACGCCCTGTTTCTCGCTGCTGATCTGCTCCATCAGCGCGGACTTACGAGAGCCGCTCTTCTCCTGCGTACGCTTCACTCCATCTACAGACACAAGCACATGACATCACTTTTATAGATATCATTTCGCCTACATACCCAAACAATCACAGACTCTTTGGCAAAAGCGATGCACTAATTAACTTACCTTTCTCGCTAAATAATTCAAGTCCTCTTCGGATCACGGATGCTGACATGATCAAACTGACGAACGAGGTGAAAATAAATGTAGATAAATATAGAGTACAAGGGAGCGTTCAGTGTTGACGTGCCATGTGAGCTCAGCGAGTGCGTCACAACAAAGGCTCGGGCAGAAACACGAGCGGCAGCAGCAAAGTTCCGCGTTTGAAGCGTTGAAATAAGTTTCTGAACATATTTTGTTGATTTAATAGGCCATTTAAAACGGTCTGTTGAGTACGGTCCAATATTTCTTTCTTTCTACTTCATTGTTAATATAAGCTTTTGTAATGGGTCAGATCTCAGGCATTTGTTGACCTCTGCTCTGATAAAAGATGATTCATATTAACCTCCGAGTGTCTCAATAACTCTTTCCTCATTTGATAATCATCTTGTGATTGTTTTTAGCTCATCCAGGGACTTTTGACAGCAGTGCTGTGAAAACAGTCCCTGACCCGTGTGTGTTTGCCTCTGTCCAAACTTTCTCAGAAATGTCGAAACGAAAGAGATTTTGAACATTCATCAGGTTCATCACGACTGAAGCTGGTTTTATTGAGATTTTGGAGACAGAAAACACACATCTGGAGTCTGTAAGTTAAAACGCTTTTTCTTTTAACGAGCAGTTCATTTAAAGTAACACAGCATCCAAGAAATCATTGATTAGTTATTAGTTATTATTACTTTGAATGCATTCACAAACGGACAAATACAGTAAATAGATGTATTTCAGTCATTCTCGAGACGTGGGACAAAACAGGTCCAGCAAGGGTTACTGCTATTAGCTTTAAAAATACAAATATTTTCAATTTTAAATGTCACGAGGGATTAATAATAGAATGTATTTAACACAATTATCACCTTCAATTAAATTTTCTCATTATTATACCAAATCTGTGTTTCTTAACGTCCTCTCGCTACGTCTAAAACTGTGTCCACAGAGAAGGGTTCATATGCAATAAAATGGATAAAAAAAATGTTTTTTAATGATGAAAAAGAGCTTGTTTTATCAAAAGCAACACTTAATATCTCCTATCAAAGCAAGGTTGTTTTTTAATGACACATGCATGTTTCATAAGATTTTAAAGTTGCGTCTCCACTTTTTGTCAACACCGTCAGACATTCAATAAAGTGTAATAAACTCAGGGAATATCACTCTAAAGGACCCCTCGCCACATTCAGCTCTGCAGAGTACAGCAGCGTCACACAGGCTCTGCTCAGTTTCATAGTTTTAGAATAGTTTAAATCCTAATGTTAATATTTCCTGTGTCACAGCCATCATACGTCAACACCATCTTCCAATTTCTGAGGAAATTATTGGAAATATTTAGATGATTGTATTCTCCTGAAGCAGGTTCCGTCAGCATCTCGCATCAACAGAAACACATAAAATGCTACCACATGCACTCCACTGGTTTTGTGAAAGAAATGCCTCATTTGTCACCGCCGTCAGATCTAGTGTTCCAGTGATACATCACAAAACTTCAATGCCACTCTTCAATAAAAGCTTTAGAAACAATAACATACTCAGTTTCTTTTAATACAGTAATTGACTGATTCAGTGTATTTGATCGTTAAAATGACTACAAATTCAGGTTTTCGTCACCTCCGTCAGTTGAATATTTTGATAATATTTCATTATGATATTTTATGTTTTTTTAACATGTGAAAGTGTAATCCGTCTGCTAACACCAGAATGTGTTTTGAAATGTTAAAAACATCTCGAATGCTGTTAAAGATAAAGTTGAAATATTACACCATCCAAGCTTAAAAAAAGCACATTTTGTTAAAAAAGAGAAAAGTTGGGAGGTAGTATAGTACATATAAGATACACAAATATAGTTTCATTTGTGTGAGTACAAGGTTTTATTTTTTTAATTTTGCACCCTGTTTTGTCCCACGTCTCAAGAATGACTGATTTATATTTATATTGTTTAAAAATGTAAATGCAAACGCTTAAATGATTTTAAATGCAACTTTTAAAATGCATTCAGCAGCAGTTGCAGATTTCGGTGCTAATTGTGGTATAAATGGAGGATTTTAAAGCATGAATTGTTACTCTCACGTGTTAGTCTTCAGTAATTCGGCACTCTGATGTTAACATGTTCCTTTAAACATAAAATAAATATACGATATATTTGTAGCCTATCATAACTTGTTTGTTGTCACAAGCAAATTACGAGACTTACGAGGTCTGTGTCTATGATAACAACACAGAAGTAGTTTTACATGCGTGCTGTGTGTGTAATACAGTGTTTTTACACAGTCTGGGTTAGGGTTAGGGTTAGGGTTAGGGTTAGGGTTAGGGTTAGAGCAGACGAACACGGCGCATGCGCAGCAGGGGGCGCCAGAGCGACAGGAGCAGCGCACTCATCCTGATATTAATGTCGAATTACTGCAATTCCACGATTGAACTTCTACACAGCGTCCTGCTGGAGCTGGTCATCACAGCTGGGAGTGTTCCCCCTGACCAGCAGATTCAGTTCAATGTTCAGGAGTTGATAAAGAAGCGACAGGGCCTGAAATCGACTCTTTGTTTGTTTGTTTGTTTGTTTTTCGGTAAACGCAAACAAATCCATGTATTCAAATGTGAAGGTAGCTGAAAATGCAATCAACTTTTCATTTTTTAAGCTCATAATTGGTCTTACAAAAGATTGTAATTGTAGCCTAATTACTGAAAGTTACCATAAAGTGTTACTAGTTTTGAAAAGGAAACGGAAACTTTCTAAGTTATTAGAAAACACATATGTGATAACTGTACATTCACCTCTGCTTTGATCATAACTGAGCTAGAATCGCCGAAGAACGTCATTTACTGTGTTTTCGAGTCTCTGATGGACATTTTAAGGAAGAAAAGCGGGGATTTTTAGAGAATCTCTTCTGAGAGAAACAGACCGCAAGGATTTTACCCTTTTATTCTCTTCAAACACAAACAGAGAGAGAGAGTGAAAAAGGAAACCCTTAATCTGGCAAAGCTCGAGTGAATCTAGATCTGAAATGTCGCTTGTGGTGAGATGAAGGCAGCAGGTCAGTGCATTCCTCTAGATCAGCTCTGCTCGGTTAAAAGCTCGGGCAGATGATTTCTCAGGAGAAATGTCGAGGATTTACTGAAGAGAAGCGCTGCAGCCGCAGACTGATGGAGAGATGCTGATGATGATGATGATGATGGTGTTTGATTAGAGGATGGAAAACAGCAGAGGACAGAGAGAAGGATGTGACAGCAGAAGTGTGAGTGACTGATGGAGGATGTAGCGCCTCTTTTCTCGTAAACACACTCTGTGTGTGTGTGTGTGTGAGAGAGAGAGAGAGTGTGTGTGAGTGTGAG